AGCTGATGGGATCGCCACCAGCTAGTTCGGCAGGGACCAAACCCTAAACATGAACTTTAGGAAAACCAATCTGCCTCCTGTTGCTAATACCTAACATATATGTATACGTGCATGCAAGCACTAGTACTGGACCCAACACAGGCTCGCAGGCCCAGACCAACACCGACTGCAACTCAATAAACAAATTAATATAGTGACTAAATAGGCCTTTACAAACCAGGTCCAACATATATTAAAATAATGTGGCCATGATGCCTAATGACCTTGGCTAATTATCTAGGTCTAATTAACCCTCACCATGATGATTGATATCATCGATTTTAATTCCATCTGTTGGCACTGGTACACTGCATGGATCTTGAAATATTGTTTGGCCTTCTCCAGACTTTATAAAAATATGCAAATCACCGACTGATATTACTTGAGTAGTCTAGAACATATTATCCTTCCCCTCTTGTAACAAAGCCATCCTCGGCTTAATATTAATTTCAGCCACTTCTTTCTTCTTCTTGACGGTGGGAAATATCTCTGCTTTGATGTCAATATCAAGCATAGGATTCAACACTAGATTAACACCATGATGCATAAAAGAATACGGAAAATTGGAACCATGGCATTATAATTTTACGCCATCCTGACCCACATGTCATTGACTCATGTGGGTTCTACATGTCATTGAGATACCGATGGCATATCTTAAACTTTGCAAAATTAAAATGGCATGGTTCCGGATTCAACACTTCATTAACACCACGATGCATAAAAGAATACGGAAAATTGGAACCATGCCATTGTAATTTTGCAAAATTTGAGATATGCCATCCTGACCCACATGTCATTGACTCATATGGGTTCTACATGTCATTGAGATACCAATGGCATATCTTAAACTTTGCAAATTATAATGGCATGGTTCCAATTTACCCAAGAATAACAGTTGGATCTGCCCTCATGGGTAGCATTACGATCAAACTGCCATGGCCTCCCCAACAACAACTGACAAGCATTCATTGGCACCACATCACAATCCACTTTATCAAGATAGCTATCACTTTATGAGTAATTTTCTGTGTGCCCGCTTGATTCATCCATTGAATATAACGTGGTGGAGAAAGCCTTCGTGTAGACAAGGATAAAGCATACACCAAGTCTAAACTGATAGCATTAGTGAAACTACCACCATCAATTATTAATTTGCAAACCTTCTCTTGAATTTTGCACTCTGACTGAAAAATATTACAGCGCTGCCCCTTTGCATCAACATTAGAGCCATCTCGCTGAACTGCATATGCAAGCATAGATAAACCATTATTCTTTTCAGCACCATCATCCATAGATGAATCATCAATATCTCGATAGCCCGTAGTAAGAGTATGATCAAGTTGTACACCTTCTGAATTTTCTAATATACTCTCAGAAACATAGCCTTCTTTAGTCATCAACACCTTCTTCTGATTAGGACAATCTCTCATATAATGTCCTCTCCCTCCACAAGTATAACACTGTACACTTCGTGATTTAGAACTAGATGTAGCAGTAGATTCAACTTTAGATTTGGATTTACTCACCGAACTAGCAGCAGGTTTAGACCCATCTCTAGAAGGAGTAGTCAGCTTGAAAGACATCGACTTACTAGCGGCACTTCCATCACCATCTCGCTGAAAAGAACATGAACGGCTAGTGTGGCGACTTGTTAGTTGCTGCTCCACCCTTTGAGCAATGTGCACCATATTTTGTATATCATAATAATATGATATCTCAACACGTTCTTTCACATCATCGTTGAGACCAGTAAGAAATCTAGCGATAGTAGCTTCATCATTCTCTGTTACCCCTGTATGGCTCATTAACAATTCCATCTCCTTATAATAAGCATCCACACTAAGATCACCTTGTTTGAGTTGCTGCAAGCGTGTATACAAGGATCTAGTATAATGTTCAGGAACAAAACGGCGAGCCATAACCTCTTTCATATATATATTGCCAAGTATGTGGACGACCAACATGTACCAATTGATTCCACCAAGATAAAGCATAACCAGTGAATTCAATAGATGCAAGACGTGCCTTCTTATCCTCTAAATAGTTGTGACTATTAAAGATCTGATCACAACGCATCTCCCACTGCAAATAATCCTCCGGATCTCCAGAACATAAAAAAGCAGGCATGGAAATTTTTATCTTACCAAGCCCTTCATCCAACGGAACACGAGCAGCACGACGATTCCGATTGTCACGGTGAATATCATCAACAACCCTATCCATAAAAGCAGGACCTCGGCGAGGAGGATGTCGAGGACGACGATGATGATCACCTTCATCAGAACACAAGCCTAGACTCTCATCCTCCGCATCATACTCATGATGTTCAGGTAGTGGACGTCGACCCTGTCTAGCATGTTCCTGACGTGGCAGTGGTAGACGATCGACTAACATAGAAATACTCCTCTCAAGCTTCGTGAATTTCTGATTTATACATTTATCAAAATAATCACAAGCACTTTACAATCCATCCTTAACTTCGGCAGGCAAGTTAGCATCAAAAACAGGCATAGTAACCTCTTCCTCATCAAAACCATGATGAGAACCACCACTACTTTCAGAACCTCCAGATTTAACCATGATGCAAAATCTGAAATTTAGCAAAATAACTCAACAGTACCGTGATGAACCACGCTCTGATACCACTTGATGAGCACCCAACATCGAGTACCCTAATTTATCTCTCTCTTTCACGGAACCAAATAAAACAGCTATCAAATTAGTTCAGAAAATATGATGACGATAAACCAAAGCACTCAGAATCTAATCCACCCGTGCTTTCACACATGAACAGGAGAGGAGGCACACACGTACCAAGCAACAAAACCAGGTAAGACTTCCTGACCTTGTTTCTTCTCCAACCAATCAGGCGGCAAAATATTCAGATAGAAGCTGATGGGATCGCCACCAGGTAGTTTGGCAGGGACCAAATCCTAAATATGAACTTTAGGAAAATCAATCTACCTCATGTTGCTAATACCTAACATATATGGCTAATACCTAACATATATGTATACGTGCATGCAAGCAGTAGTACTAGACCCAACATAGGCTCGCAGGGCCAGACAAACACCGACTCCAACTCAATAAACAAATTAATGAAGTGACTAAATAGTCCTTTACAAACCAGACCCAACATATCTTATCTTATCTTAACTAATTAAAAGATTCGTATTTTTCCTTTAGTCACACTATTTTTTGGTCCGTATGTCCGATTTGCTCCCCTCTCGCGCGTGCGTGCGTGACTGCTCGGGTAAATAAAAAATCACATCGCATCTTATCTGGTTCGGATAAGGCTTGATTCCCGATACGAAACGGATTTGCTCCGAATTTTAGGAAAACGGAAAGAGAAGAAAATAAGGATTGAAACCCCTCAATCAATTTTAGATTATCTATAAGGATGCAGCCGGATTTCATGGTGGAGGCGGTTTCAAAAGTCGTCGGGAAGGTGATGATCTCTGGACGGAGGTAGGGGACGGCTATGTGACGATGGGCCCACACGACAGTGAGAGAAGAGTAAAGGGAGGTAAATTAGACTTGTGTTTGCTTACTGAGCCGGACGCGTGCTTGCGGGCTAAGGTGGAGGGGAGAAAAAGGGATAAAAGCAGGTTGCTCGGATGCGGGCTGAGGGAGGCCATGGGCTGAAAATGGCCCAGAATGTAAGAATAATTCTTATTTAGATTTTTATTTAAATAAATGCTGAAATGATGTTTGTATTATTAAAATTCGAAATGAAGTTCTAAAAATTTCTAGAAAAATCCAGAAAGTATAATTAATTATGGAGAACATCATTAAAATTATATCCAGCCATATCATTTTATTTTCACACTTACTTTACTTTTAAATTAATTTAAACACCTACCAACTTAAAAAAATATCAAGTATTTCGGAAAATTTATATTTAATTAATTACATAATATAAATCTTTTTCAACTTCTCCTCAATTTTCTCATCTCTTTTTCCCGTTGCAACGCACGGGTATTTTTTCTAGTATATTAAAATAATGCGGCCATGATGCCTAATGACCTTGGCTAATTATCTAGGTCTAATTAGCCCTCACCATTGTGATTGATATCATCGATTTTAATTCCATCTGTTGGCACTGGTACATTGCATGGAGCTTGAAATATTCTTTGGCCTTGTCCAGACTTCATAAAAATATGCAAATCACCGACTGATATTAATTGAGTAGTCTGGGACATATCACAATGGATACCAAAAACATCACCAAGATGAGGCGATGCCAAGGTAGGCGTAATCCCTGCAGACTTCTCAAACGGATCAGAGTAAAACTTTATCCAAAACCATCTTCTATAGGAAACGAGAGCCGCCACCCCCCGATCGCGAGGGAGTCGCCCAAACCCTAATATCGACAAATGTTTCAATTATTGACTGGATTTTTTTGCTTCTCAGAATAATGCCTAATGATTAGTCTTTTCCTATGTGCCCATGAAATCCATTATTGTACGTAGTACTGATCGGCCATGCGGCACGGAAACCTGCCGTTTATTTTTATGGATTTAGAGCAAGAGGATGAGTGTTAATTATGTGTGATCTCAAGCACTCTCTGGATGAGATTGTAGTTGCGGGGGCAGAACCATACTCCATCTATCTGATAGAAAACCAATATAGTACCGGATGTAACACATCCTAGTACTATAAATCTGGACATATATTTTTCTAGATTTATTGTACTAGAATATGTCATATCCGATCCTAGATTCGATTTTTATGGGACGGAGAGAGTACATATCTCTCTATGCAACTAATTAAGCTGCGGAAAGTGGGAAATTGTTGTGGCAAATGGCAATCAACACATTCTGATATACATCCATTCACACTGGGGATTGCCAAGCATTGCGCGGGTTGTTTCAAAAAAGAAAAAAAAAGAAATTAAACAAAATGAAACTAGTTAGTAAGACGAATTGATGTGAGACCCAGTCTGGAGTTCGAGCCAATAGATAAAAATTAAGCACCATTAATATTATAAAGCCAAGTTATACATTATTGTAGCGTCACACCGTCCATCGTTAATGGAATGGAAAATATTTCAGCCTTAATTGACGTCCATCGGCTAGGATAGCTCAGATGAGCACAGATGCCAGCAAAAAATGGCGGCGCTAGCTTACAGCATCTGGAGTAGCAGCAGCGTGGCCAGAAGAACGTACTCCCTGCTGCTGCTGAAGAGGGGAGGAGGAGCAAGTACTCCTACAACACAAGCATTGGTGGCAGAGCTACCTGCTGCACTCTTGGGCTCGGCAGCAGGGAGAGGTGGCTCAATGACGTCCGATGAGTTGAGCACCGGCATTGGTGCCAGAGCTGGCAGCATGCCACCAGTACTGCACTCCGCATCGAGTAGCTGCGCCAGGTCGCCAATTGGCACTTGCTTCATGGATGTAGACGTACCATCTCCTTGGCGTGTACAAGTATTCACTGCCAGTAAATTAATTACGGTTTTTGTAAAACTTTAGTTCCATAATATCTGGGATATATTATGTGACTACCTAAAAGAAATAAACATATATATTTGTGGCAAACAATAGAATAAACGAGGACTAGTACCTACTTTACTACTTCCTCCGTTCCATAATATAAGGGATTTTGACATTTTGCTTATACTGTTTGACCATTTGTTTTATTCAAAAAATTTTATAATTATTATTTATTTTATTTGTGACTTACTTTATTATCCACGGTACTTTAAGCATAACTTTTCGTTTTTTATATTTGTATAAATTTTTTGAATAAGACGAATGATCAAACATTGAAAGTAAAAAGTCAAAAATTCAAAAAGTCAAAATTTCTTATATTATGGGATGGAGGTAGTAGCTAGCTAGCAGAGTAGTAGTAGTAAACTTACTTTTGTATCTTCTAACAGTCTTGGGGAAGTCAGTTATGAAGCCATCAACATGAACCAACTGAACATAGTTGTTGATCTCCACTGTTCCATCTGCGAAGAAATCCACCGGTGGTGATACATACTCATTGCGGAATACCTCCACATACACAGCTAACCCTGCAGACTGCACATCTTCCACAACCTTGCTTTTCCTAATAATAAAACCTTTGCTCTCGGCAAAAACAGATTCCCTGTCAACAATAACAGCATCTGCAAACTTCTTGATATCTGCTACGCAGGAATCAGAAACGTCCCCAACTTTTAACGGGAGCGAGTAGACAAGCTTGCATTGTGTTAACCTCTGCTTCAGTTTGACGAGAACAGCACTGTCTTTAGACTGAATCATAATCTCCTTGTTGTTCTTGGTAGTTGGGTCCATGTTGTCATAGCCAGCATTACTCAACGCAGTTGTTACAAGATCAACGACATCAAATCCTAATGATTTTGCCATAAATGCAGCATTCTGCACTTCACAAGGTTGATCGATCAATTTTCACTGTAGATTTTTGTAGAAAGGAGAAAACTAAGAAAAAATGGCTCCGTGTGTAAGATATTTTGCTTTTCATGGTGATCACCTTAATGAAAATAAGTGCTAAAATCTCCCCCATATACGGGTAACAGGGAAACTGTTGAAAATGTCTACTAAAAAAATTGCCAAAAAAGGAATTATGATCACCTTCATGATGATCATGATGCCGGATAAATCCTTGTCCTTTGCATATGTCAAAAAGTCGGATAACTTGAAAAACTTTCCTTGATTTGCGTACCTTGGGTTCCTTACAAAATCATGATATGGGTGGGTTATTTTCGCTGCAGAAAAAAAACACATGAATTTTTCATGTTTGTATGCCATCTACGTTTTTTTAAAGATAATGAAAATGGATTACATATCCGGTCTCTGCCCGTGGGCACACAACCAAACAAATTACACTCTTTTCGTGAAGAAACATTTTTCTAACACAGGAGAAAAACAATGTTAAAAACATTTCAATAAAATCTGAAAGAGTTGTAATAAAAAAATGATAAGGAAACTCACGTCTCAAAGTGCTAATTTCTTCCCAAGTGAGGTTAAACGTGAATATTCCCGGTTTAGTCTGAATTTCTGGAACGACAGAAGCAAGTGAGCTAAACTTCGAGTTCTGAACATCTGTACTATCATACAGGTTAATGGAACTCATGCATATAGGAATTCCATCTTTGGTCATTTCGATGGAACAGTCAATGACATCTGCACCATCTCCAACTGCCTTCTCATAAGCAAGATCCGTACAGTCCGGGTAATCTCCACTAGCACCATTATGTGAGATAATTAATATATTCCCTGATAAAAAACAGTGTGGTCGATAATTAAAACGAATTCAAACCTGTGGAATTCAAATATCACTGCAAGAACATATAGTGCGGGGGGTTGCAGCTAAATGTGTCATACCATGATCTGTTTTCCTGCTTGTGTTCAAATTAGTGAAACAGCCTGTGCAAATATAGACTCAAATGCATTAATTCCCGATTCTTGTTTGTGTACAACAACAATATAAACAACAGGAAACACAACAGTGATTGATGACTGGCGAAAATTAAGCAATCTCGTAGCTCACATGGTAGCATATATATAAATGAAACAAAAAATGTAGAGTAAATTTTACAAAACTACACGTTTTGTTGTCCAAGTTAGGATGCCTCGTCTGTGTGACTTTCTACAACTTGGACAACAAAACGTGTAGTTTTGTGAAATTTACTCAAAAATGTATTACTATATGAGAGCTTTTACGGTGTTTGAGTGTAGAGAAGGCTATCAATTCTCCAATGCTCCTCCAAAAGAGTAGATAACACGGATTTTTAAAGTACGTTAAAGACATCATTTGCATTCGCCCACTATGCGAATGTGATTACTAATCAATCAAATTGATTGATCTTAGCAAAATTTAGATTCAACACAGCTTTCATGAATTGCCTGTTGAGTTAATTATTTGCTATGGTGAAACTGACAAAATAACGGTGATTAAAATTACATTAGTGTAACCAAAGCAACAAAAGTATGGACACATACCAATAGCCTCTGATGCAGTAAGTGGGTGATCCGTTAATACACCATCAACAGAGAAGCCACCATTGCTGACAAATGACAGATATTCCTCCAAAGGATCATAACTGTAGTTATAGGGAAAAATTCCATCGTTTGAAAAATCAGACGCATATATTTCTAAACCTGCATCGTGCGCATCTTTGACAATCTGTGTGGGAAGCTGAATATAGTTATCACTCGTCACTGGCCAGATATAGCTTTTGGGAACCATTATACCAGAAGCAATTGTCTTAATAAATGCCAGGTCACTCAGCATAGAGTCATATGTTTTGTTTGTAGAAAGATCGGAAACAGCTTTATCAAGAAAGCGGAATACTAGCTTCACTTTATGATCAATGCCTCCTGATAGAGTTTCCAGGAAACCTAGTTCAGGTGATGAGATGTACTTCACAAAGCCAAGCTTCTGTACTGAAAGAATGTAATTTGTCATGTTCAAACCATGCTCTGTGTAGAAAACATCATGCTGCACAAATGAAAAGGAAGTTATCTTAATTCGGAAAGACGTACATGAAGCACGATGAATCAGTGTAACAACAGCTAGAATAATTTATACGTTTAGTCCGAAAGAACAGCTAGCAAACTCTACCTCAACATTCAACCAAAGAGATGATGGCTCGATCGAGGACATGAAGCCGGTGACAGAAAAGATGCGGAAGTTGCAGAAATCAAATTTGTCGGTACGAGAAAAAAGTGCCTGTGTTACTGCCCAACGGTAGATGTGAGTACTGAATTGCTGATTACAAAAAGGATACTACTAAAGGATCATCCTAGAAAAAGAAATTAATGACCAAAACAGTTCGATACTATATCCAAAGAATACTAAAAAGTGTCCACGCAAATCGACTCCTTGTTGCAAGGATCGATGACATCCAGTTTTGGCCACATGAAAAACCACATAAAGCTAACAAGAGGATATTTCATGATAACATTGACATGGCGGTACGTTGTGTAAACCATTTTCATTATCTACGAAAATTGAGATGGTGGAAGTATATATTCGTGCATGCATGTTATGGCAATGCAGTAAGCAACCAGCTGAAAATGATTTGAACTCACAAAAAACATTTGTCAGCAAAGACATGTTATAGTCCACAGGGAACCATCCGGTTTTCGGCACTCCATTGATTCTGTATGTCTGCTTCCCCCCTGGATAAACTTGGCTGATAGTGGTGCCATTCTGCATAAGTAAATCTCGGAGGCAAAAGCCAACACCGTCTTTCGTCAGTTGCACATCGCACCACAAGCTTGTGTCAGTCGAGGTAGCAGACAAGGCAAAACCAAAGGCGAATTGGCTGGAATCAGGAAACAATCCTGAAAAGCCACCTCTAGCAATAACAAGAGGAGCATTACCTGCACAACCAACAAATGCTTGTAGGAAATCACAAGGTAATTAGCTTGTGATTAGCAGGTTGAAAAAAGGACATGAACAATAAGCTAGAAGCAGGTGCCGAAAAATTTTAATTTCAGGCATGCTACTGCAAGTACAGATCGTGCTCATGGCCTTTCAGACATGGGACATAATTAACAGCATTCCCATCAAGATTTCCTGGAAAACCAACTCGCTGCAATAAACCACCTAGTTCAGATATCAGCATTCAGGTCCTTAAAAGTCCTGACATGAACAGAGCCGGAAAATACTCCTATATAGATATCAACTACGAGGAGCTAGATCGAGCTTGCTATTGAGTGATTAAATTTTACCCGTCAAGGTTTTGAAGGTGGTTGACGCAAGCGGGAGCTCCGCAGCAACGGCGACAACTACGACGACTGAGAGTAGCAGGATCCAGCGGTAGGACAGCATTGTGGTGAGGGAACTGCTAATCCTGGAGAATTTTTTTCATCCAAGGCTCGGAGAAAGCATGCACTTTGGCTGAGAAGTGGCGCAAGATGGCGTTTTTATAGGGATCACCCAGTGGCAGAACAACAATGACAACTCAAGCATCATGTTAATTAACAATTAAAAATCACCTTTGGTATAAAACAAGAGTTGTTGGTGAAAATTACACTATGATCAAGTGAGAGTGAGAAGTGGGGATTGAAGGATAAGGAGAGTTCTTCTCTGCATTTAATAACTACTATAAGAAATAGTGCTAACAATAATTACTTAGTATCCTTTTTTTTTCTGTCTGAATGGATCGGGGAGAGCACCACTGGAAAGTCGACAACGCAGCTTCACAGGAGTAAATATACAACATGCATCCTATGATCTACAAACATGCAAGGCTTGTTCACTATGTTTGGTTATCATACTATATTGGAAGAGGCAAACAAGGGACCATATGTTGACCATTCACTCATAGATGGTTTCAGTTTAGGGTTTTAGGTTAGGTTGGGCACTCTCAACTCTGGATCTGCAGGAGGAAATTAAAAAAGAAAACCCACAATACTTGTATGCATTTAAAAAATCAAAGAAAAGGAAAAAAAAAAGAGCGAGTCAAGAGGAGTGGAGACTTCAAGGCAAGCAAGAGACTGATCAGTTTGTTTTTTGGTAGGTGGAATCCGAATCTTATCTGACCACTTCTTGCTTCGGTTTAGCCTTACCTAGCTAATTACTCCCTCCTACCTATAAAAAACGAATCTAGAACTAGATATAATATATTATAGTACAATAAATTTGAACAGTTATAGTTTTATAGGAAATAAATCTAGAACTAGATATGATATATGGTTGTGCAACGAATCTGGAGATTTGTAAGACTAGGATCCAATCCTATAGCTAGGTTTGTTTTTATTGGACGAATAGAGTACATATGCTATATATAGTTACCTAGAGGTCTGTCTCCTTAGTCCTCACCTAGTAGTAGGTCGGTTAGGTTCTGGTCAGCTCTACATGGCACCAGCGTAGAGCTGCGCTGCTGCCGCCGGGGACCAACGAAGGAATGCTCCGGCGAGGCAGGCGAGTGAACTTGCCAGTTTTGCAGCAGCGCTTGGCAGAAGACGGCGAAAGGATTTTTGGGCAGGCCCAAGAATGGACTGGAGTTGGAGGTTGGCAGAAATGGGCCCTATAAAATTCATGTGGAATAAGTTCACTTTGGGTCCCTCTATTTGTTCCTAGTCCGATTTTCGTCCCTTGGTCGCAAAACCGGGTACGACGGGTTCCCCAACTTACAAAACCACACAAAAGAGATCCCTTGGCAGTATTATATCCGGTTTTGGATGGCGTGGCACATACGTGGCTCCCTTTGACTAGGTTCTCATCCCATGCGGCATTGACATCGCGCTTACCTGACAATTGGATCTCGGAAAATAATAAAAAACCGTGGGACCCACATGTCAGCTACACAAAAATAATAATAGAAAAGGTGGGACCCATGTGGTCCCACATGTCAGCCTCCCTCTTCTCTCTATCCCCTTTCTCTCTCTCCCCTACATGGCAAGGAGAAGGGCGAGCGACGGCGCAGAGGGGGTGACGGGCGATGGGCGGAGCGACGACGGGCGACGTTCGGTGTGCGGAAGGACGGAGGGCAAAGGGGCGGCGGGCGGTGGGCGGAAGGAAAGCGGGCGGCGGGCGGAGCAGAGGGGCCGCGGGTGGAAGTGGAGCGGTGGCGGGCGGTGGGTGGAGGGACGGCGCCACGGCGGTGGGAGGGCGGAAAAGGAGCGGCGGCTCGCCGCCCTGCCTCGCTCGCCCGTTCTCGACATCGATGCCGCATCTCCGCCCCTCCTCGTCCGCTAGGGCTCACTCGCAGGCACAGCTGGCGTCGACCCTGCTGCCCTCGCCGCCTTCCCCACTCGCGCCTTCTCCTCCTCCGTCGCCGCCGCTGGTGGTTGCTGCGTCGCCCCGACGAACGCGCGCGGCCATCCTTCCTCACAGGCCGACAAGCACGCGTCCTCCGCTTCCTTCCTCCCTATCGAGGTCCGCCACCAGCGTCATGCCCTTCAGCGACTCCACAAACGGCGGGTGCTTCGGTGGTAGCGCCACCTCCACGAACTGCTCCTCCAACATCAGCGTCAGGAAGCCAGCGCCGCGGTGGATGGCGTGAGAGAGGACGGATGCCGAGGAGGCGTTGGAGACATCGACGCGAAGCTCATGGGACTCGCCGCTGGCGCGGCCCTCCGCCCTCCTCCCGCGCGCCTCCACTTTCTTCCTCGCCGCCTGTTGTCGTTCCGCCCATCGCCCGCCGCCACTCCACTTCGACCTACCGCCCCTCTGCTCTGCCCTCCGCCCGCATGTTGCTCCACCCACCGCCCGCTGCCGCTCACCCTTCTCCTTGCCGTGTAGGGGAGAGAGAGAAATAGGGGATAATGAGAAGAGGGAGGCTGACATGTGGGACCACAAGGGTCCCACCTTTTTTTATTATTTTTGTGTAGCATGTGGGTCCCACTATTTTTTTTTATTTTCCCAGGATTCAATTGCCACGTAAACGCCACGTCAATGCCACGTGGGACGAAGACCTAGTCAAAGGGAGCCACGTAGGCGCCACGTCATCCAAACCCAAGCACAATACTGTCGAGGGACCTCTTTTGTATGGTTTTGTAAGTTGGAGGACTCGTCGTACCCGGTTTTGCAACCAAGGGACGAAAATCGGACTGGGCGACAAATAGAGGGACCCAATGTGAACATATTCCAATTCATGTTGGTGCATGCCTGTATAGGAATAAGTCTATTTTGCTTCTCTTATCTCTTACTGTTGATTAAATCGCATCCCTCACAAAACCGGGTATAATATCTCCTCCATCTTAGAAAACCGATGCAAATCGACTCCTTCAGCGGTTTGCGAAGTGGGTTTTACGACGTGACAGGGTGGCCGGGATTTGACTCACTGATTCAGTGGTGGGACCCACATATCATTGAGTCCTCGGTCATCTTCTTCCTCACCCTTTCTCTCTCTCTCCTCTCCTCCCTTTCTCACTCCTGCTTCATCTGCTCCGACAATATCGGTGGCCATCGTTTGTCCTAGCGCGGCCACAACTGCTCTTCATCGTCGCGACACCGCGTACGCGCCGCCGTCCGTTCGTGGTCCTCCTGTGGCCGCATCCGCTTGTTGTCGCTGTCCCGCTGAGTCTGGCCGACTCTAGATAAGAGCTCATGGGACAACATGTTGATCCTCTTCCTGAATTAATGAAATCGATGGCATCCCCTCCAATTAGCAACTTAATTACTAGCAAGGAAAGAAGAAATACATCATGCATTTTCCAGAAAAATAGAGATAAGAGTCACATGCGAAGGGCCGATGTGTTAGGAAGGGCCCCTTTGAATTTTTCTTTTACAAGAACAATTGTAGGGAAAAACTTGCAAGATTGGCTTGACATTGTTTCAAAGGTGGTGAGTGACAATTTGAATGATAAGCAAGACCAATTCTTTTGCAAGAGCAATAAAAAAATGTTTTATGTTAACTCCATGTATAAAGCTCTTATGTTTAATGTTGTAATACACTACTACAAAAAGGTAAATAGGTGTCGCCACTATAGGTGCCGGTACACCAAAAAACGGCACCAATAATGCTTTCCCCGCCCATGCACCCACCTCCACACGCCACATATTAAAAAACGGCACCTTTAATCTTCTACCTACCACACTGCTGTTGGTGGGCCCCGCACATAGGTGCCGGTTTTAAGACAAAGGTGCCGGTTTTTTAAAAACCGACACCTATAATAAATTAAAGGTGCCGGTTTTGGGTAAAAAACCGACACCTTTACAGATCGAGCCGAGCCGGCTGAGCCGACCGGCGGGCCCCACAACCATCGGATAAGGTCGTCTCGCTCAGCCTCTCCTCTCTCGTATCGCTCTCTTCTCTCTCTCTCTCCCTTCTCTCTCGCCTCGCTCTCTTCTCTCTCTCTCCCTCCTCTCCCGCGCGCTGCCGCGGAGGCGGAGGCGGCGACTTGGCAGCCGGAGGGGAGCCCTCCCCTCCGTCAGATCCGGCGGGAGGGGAGGCGGCGGCGGCAGGAGGGGGAGGCGGCGGCGGGAGATAGCGGCAGCAGCAGGCGGCGCCGGGAGGAGAGGCGACAGCGGCGGGCGGCGCCCTCCCCTCTGCTAGATCTGGCGGGAGAGGAGGTGGTGTTGCCGCATCGGCGGCCCCATGGCGGAAGAGTCGGCGGCGGTGGTCCGACGGCCCGGTGGCTGCGCCCTCCCCTCCACCAGATCTGGCGGGAGGGGAGGTGGCGGCGGCGGCTCGGCGGCGGGAGGTGGCGACGGTGGCTTCATCGGCAGCGGTGGTGGCGGCGCCTCGTCCTCTCCATCCGGCTCCTCCTCCTTCTCGTCTCCAATTTATTCTTGATGAATGTGTTTGATTCTTGATGAATGTGTGTTCTTGATGAATGTGTTCTTGATGAATGTGATGTTGATGTGTTTGATTGATGAATTTGAGGAAATTTTGGGATTTGGGTGTAGATGGGATCGGCTTGACGGCTCAATGCATCGGCTCGATGCATTGAGCCGATTTTTTTTGGCTTATGGGCACCTCAAAGGTGCCAGTTCCAAAACCGGCAAACAGTGCCGGTTGGGTTAACAGTGCCGCCTCCTGGGTGCCGGTTGGGAAAACCGGCACCGAAGGTGGGTTCCCAACCGGCACCGTTTAGAGATTATGTAGTAGTGATACCTAGGAAGTCTTTAATTTGAAAGCTAAGGATTCCTTTAAAAATTAAAATTTTCCTTTGGTATATTGAAAAGGGTTGATTCTAACAAAAGATAATCTTGCTAAAAGAAGATGGAAGGGTAGCTTGCTTTGTAGGTTTTGTAACTCTAATGAGTCAATTCAACATCTTTTCTGTGATTGTGTAATGGCTAGATATATTTGGAGTGTGATATGTCTTACTTTTAGAATCAAGCAACCCCGTAATAGTTCACACTTGTTTGGAAATTGGTTAAGAGGTTTTGAACCTAAACTTAAAAAACAAACTTGGGTGGACATAGTGGTGATTTGTTGGGCTTTGTAGTTCAGTAGGAATGACTTAGGGTGAGTTTGAGGAGAAGGAGATTGGGAAGATACATAAAACGAGGTGAGCCATTAGGGCATGATGAATTGAGTATTAACTATTT